AAACACCCACAAATCTTTTTCCCTTTAGCAATCCTTTTACCAAAGTTTGGATTAATAGAGTTGGAAGATTCTTGCCATGTTGTCCAAACAGCCACTCTAGCTTTTAAAATACACATATTTTCTTTGAATATACCAAACTAAGTGTTTTTATTCAAGCAGGCATATATTATACAATTTTGACAACTTATTAATTTTATTATACTATTCTAATACACCAGGAGGCTGGGTTCTATGAGGAGAAATGTGGGATCAAGATTGATTTAAGATCTATCAACAATCTGCAATACGCAGATGACACAACCCTGCTTGCTGAAACTGAGGAGGACCGGAAACGCTTGCTGCAGAGGGTCGAGGACTGCAGCCTTCAATGTGGATTGAGGCTCAATGTCAAGAAGACAAAGATTCTGACCACTGGGCCAATTGGCAGCATCAGGATGGATGGTGAAGAGATTGAGGTTGTTCACAGCTTTTGTTTGCTTGGCTCCATAATCAACACTCTTGGCACCAGCAGCCAGGAAATGAAAAGACGTATTGCCATGGGAAAGTCTGCTGTTAGGGACCTCTCCAAAGTACTGAAGAGCAATGTTGTCTCTCTGGAGACTAAGGTGCATCTGATATAGGCCATGGTCTTCGCAATCACTTGTTATGCATCAGAAAGTTGGACAATGACTAAGGAGGATAGAAGGAGAATTGATGCCTTTGAGCTTTGGTGCTGGAGAAGAGTATTGAGGGTACCATGGACTGCCAAGAAAACAAACAGATTCATCCTGGAAAGGGTTAAACTGGGTGACTCCTTGGAGTCAGGGATTCTGAGGCTCCATCTAACATACTCTGGACATGTTGTAAGGAGGGACAGGTCCTTTGAGAGGGACATCATGCTTGGTAGGGTGGAGGGACAGCACAGGAGGGGAAGGCCCTCTATGAGGTGGATTGATTCAGTGATTGGGGTAATTGGGATGGGTGTATCAGAGACGATATGATTGGCATAGGACAGAGCAGAGTTTAGGGCTGTTGTACATACGGTCGCTATGAGTTGCAAGCAACTCGACACCATATAACAACAACAATTCTAATACATTAGATAATTAAATTTCTAAGTTACTTTACATAGCTACAAAAGACTGGCTTGTGTGCCTGCCCTTGGTATTCCGCATTTACCGAGGATGAACAATTTGCCAAATGCAGTCTATTTAAATTATTTTATTAATTTAGAGGTTTTATCTCTTTTAAAAGAAAATTTTCAGCTGTAGGTTTTAATTTATCAATTTTTGAATTAAGAGTTTTACTAAAACTATCAAATTATATGCACTCACAAACAATTGCTACATTAAACATAAGACAAACATAAGACAAAAAGACAAATTCTATATAATCCACAAAGTCAAGTCAGTGAACATATAGAAGGTTTTGAAAAATTTTCATAAATATTAAGTACATTTAATATGAAAAGAGTTTTATGCAATTGTATCACAAGGGAGTAAGCTTCTCCTTTTTAATTTCAGTTTTAACATTTTGTGTGGTTTTTATTTGTTACTATGACTTGACTTTGTGGATTATATAGAATTTGTTCTATATTGAACTGTGGTGACTTAGTTGGTAAATGGATGAGTATAATTTATGTGAACTAATAATTTTTGAAAATTATTAATGGCTTATAAGGAATTTTTAAACATTTTTACTTTTTGTGGGACTACAATTTGAAATGTCATTTTAATGATTACTAGATTAATAAAGATACTTTTGCTGGTTAAACTAATTTTTTATATAATAACTGGTTTGAAGATATTAATTAGTATTTTATTAAATCCTTACTTTTGGTATAATAGTAATGTTATTAGAGTTATGTTTAATGTAGTATTTTTCGAGGTGGCATGAAATAAATTTAAGACATGTTGTTTACAGTGGGGTTGCTTTTGTTAACAGATACTGCTGGCATTTTGTCTTGTCTTTTGCAGAGCTTGAAACTGATTAGCCTTTTTTTGGCTTTCTGACTTAATTTTGTTGCTTTGTTTTTGGAGACATTTTTTATTATAATGTACATTGCACTTATGCTTGGGAAAAGCTATTTTATTTTTTGAGTACTTGAGAAACAGATATTACAGACAGCTAATTGAGAATATAACTTTTATTTTTTACCTTCTACTCTGAGAACTGAGTTGTATTTTTTCTTTTATCATCCTCCACAAATATGCTGGAAAATCAGGTATGGGTTAGTTCTGAACAATAGTACATAACAACAACAACAACAACAATAATTTAGTAGTTAATCTTGATGTTAAATAATGTAAGAAATAAAATATCTTTTTTATATTCTTGTTTTTATTTAAAAAATATGTTTTCACTGTTGTTCTGTTTAGGTGCCATAGCAACCCAATGAACTCATAGCAACCCAATGAACAACAGATCTGAGCTTTGCTCTGTCCTATGCTGTCCTCATGTTCTCTAATATACTCAAACCCATTGTTACAGTCCATCTTAGTAAGAGTCTTCCTCTCTTTTGGTTTAAATTTCCATTTTAATTATATATTACCTTCTCAACCAATGCCAAAAATATGTTAGTATTCTTCTTGAGACTACTCTGTATCCTTAGATCTATTGAAGGATAATGATATCTTAATATTGAGAATTCTGATCAATGGATAAAGTATTTCTGTTTCTTAAAATCTATCCTAGTTTAAAATAAGACATTTACCTGTTGATTATGCAAAGGCCTCCACTATTAGGATTAAAATGTGTTAAAACACATTATGAAAACTATTGAGAAGAATCAGAATTTCCAAAACCTTCATAGTACTTATACAAAATATATAGATGGATAGATAAAAATAAAATTATTCAAACAGGACAAAAAATACTCCACGGTTTAAATTTATGAAAATTATATTCCAGAATATACTTTATGTTTATTCAGTCTGCATGGTAAGAAAATTATCTGAGAAATTGGACTATAAAGTAGAATATGACATCTGAATTGGAGAAAGATTCATTAATGACCTTAGATATACAGATAAAACAATCTTGTTTTCTAAGTGAAGAGAACATGAATTTCTTGATGAAGAGGAAAGAAGACCATTTTTCATATAGATCACCTCTCATTAAAGAGAAAATAAAACTTCTCACCACTGGACTGATATAAACCATGATAAATACATAAAAGATTGAAGTTGTCAAGGAGTTTATTTTATTTACATGTACCTACAAAATCCAAGGAAGCCACGCTTAACAAATGGGAAATCACCAAAAAATAAACATACACACACACACATAAACACAAAACAACTTTTCTAAATTGTTCAAAAGCACATATTTCACTGAGGACCAAGGTATTTCTGATGTAAGTCATAGCATTTTCATCAGTCTCACATTCATGTGAAAGCTGCACAGTAAATGAAGAATAGCAGAGAGGTGATGTCTTTGACTCATAGCATTGTAAAGAACATTGAAAACATCATGAACTACTGGAAACTGAACAAAAAAGTCTTGGTAGAAGTGCAGCCAGAAAACTTTTTGCAGGATGAATGGCAAGACATATACTAGGAGAGATTAGTCCCTGGAGTACATCATGCCAGCAAAAGTGAAAGCTAAACAAAAAAGAGGAAGACACTCAATGAGATTGATTGATAACTGTGCTGCAACAGTTGGCTCAAACAAAATATTGTGAGGATGACACTCGCAACAGTCTTAAAATATCATCATGGAGATGATTGTATTGCATAAAGTCTCATCAAAGAAATTATTCTATCGTATCATATCTCATCAAAGGAATGATTACATTATGTCTCATCGTAACAATGAAACTTGAGAACTATAGACAACACAATTGGCATAAAATCTTAATGCTAACAACAGGACAGAGTTTTGTGCACTTTGACACTTTTCATTTTATGCCAGCCAACAATTCTTTCTCTCAATTATTTGTATTTTCCAAATAGAATTCTTGTAAATATTTTATTTAAAATTGTATCCAAATGTCTCAGGTCTTTATCTTCTTTAGTTAATATTTTATCTTCTGTTCTCAGTCATGCCTACAATATACGGAAAAATAGCATTTTTACAAAGACCTTGTGTCTTACAACCTTGCTAACTTCAGTTACTAAACTTTATTGGCATATAAAAGTTAGAAATAAAGAAATAAGAGTAGGTTAGAACCTCCAAACTGTTTATACCACTCAGAAACTTCTGCTTTGGAGGCTAGCAATGGTTTATTTTATCAATAGAGGGTTATTATCCATAAGCTGCTCTCTGGGGGAAGGATGGACAATCTCTTCCTGTGAAAACCTGCTGGAGGGTCAGCTGTGGGTCAGTTCTGACTCTAAAGAACACAACAACAACAACAATAACTACTGTAACAGAGGTTTATTACAGGTGTGTATGGTTATATAACAATGTGTTTTCACTTTTGTGAAGTTGTGTTATATTTGAAAAGGGGGATAAAAAAATTGGTAGATTAAGCTCTTGGCCTGTGCTGCAATCCCAAAGGCATGCAGTTTGAATACACCAACAGCTTCATGAGAGAAGGATGGACAATCTCCTCCTGTGCAATTAACTGCCTCTGAAAACACACTGGAGGGTCAGCTATGGGTCAGTTCCAACTCTACAGTGCATAACAGGAATCTATAACTATTATTTTTTTCTAAATAATTAAAGATGATATTGCAAATGAACACCTCACTAGAGTTTTCTAATTAAATTTTCTGTATTTCCACAGTTTTCCACTTTGTAAAGATGATAATACAGAGAAACTTAAATACAAAGGGACAAGGTCACAGTAGAAGAACATTGCAAACAATTTTACATATGAACATACGTCTTACTGATTATTTAATTAGTCAATTTAAGAGTGTTGATTATGTAATCATTTGTACATCTTTATTGATATACTTCTCAGAGATAGTTAAGGATTTTTTTCTCTATATACACATATCAGAACGAAACACTGTATTGTAAGATCTGTTTTGTGTTTTTCCCCATATTTTTCACTGCACAAGGCCTCATTAGGGTCAAGAGGTTTTTTTAGAGAATAACAATTTTAAGACCTGGTCACGAATCTGTTTGGTCTTCACTCCATAGACTATTGGGTTGAGAAATGGTGGGACTAACAAGTAAAGATTTGATAACAGAATATGAACATATGGTGGTATGTGGGAACCAAACCTGTGTGTAAAGAAAGAAAAGAAAGCAAGAAGGTAGAACTGAAGAAAGACACAAATGTGGGCAATGCATGTGTTAAAGGCCTTGATTCGGGCCTCCTTCTGAGGCAGTTGAAAGACAGTGATGAAGATTTGAACATAGGACAAGGTAATAAAGATTATGTCAAATCCCAGTATGGCGAAGGCAACAAATAGGCCATATATCTTGTTGACCCGGATATCTTCAATAGCCAGCTTCACAAGGGCCATGTGCTCACAATAAGAGTGGGAGATGATTGTAGTTCTGTAGAGTTTAAGACAGCATCGAATAAGCATAATGGATGGTGTTGTAAGAATGATAGCTCTGAGTGTCACTCCAGTTCCAATACGAGACATAAGTTGCTGTGAAAAGATAGTGACATGTCTCAGTGGATAACAAATGGCCACATAGCGGTCCAATGCCATTGCCAGTAGGACACCAGATTCAATGGCTTGAAATGAGTGAATAAGCCACATTTGCAGCAGACAGGCTTCAAAATAAATCTCTGGCAAATTAAACCAGAAGATTCCTAGCATTTTGGGAAGGATGCAAGTGCTAAGTGCAATGTCTGTGCCCCCTAACATAGCTAAAAATATGTACATGGGTTTATGGAGGCTTTTTTCAGATTTGATTATAGACAAGATAAGGGAATTTCCAATGACAGCAATGATGTACATGGCAGAGAATGGAATCCCAATCCAACACTGTACTGGCTCCAGGCCAGGAATTCCAACCAGTGTCATTATGAAGGGTATGAAGACTGAGCCATTGGTCGTGAGCATGGTGATTTGGTCTGGAGAATCAAATTTTGATACTGTTTTTCATCTTCTAGTTCCTGTGAAGACTTAATATATTTTAAAACATAAAGAGAAATTAGTTAATGCATATATGTTTTAGTTATAAAGTTATCACTTTTATCTTTTCCATATATCTTTTTTCCTAAGAGCCAGGGATGACTGCAAGTGATCAAAGTTATTTCCATTTTTCTGTATCACTTATTAATTTTCAATGAATAATATTAATTTCTAATCAATGATAATTAACTAAACTGATTGTCTTTTTTCCATGCTCTCTCTTTATCACTTGAACAGTCACTGTCTTAGATATCTAATGCTGCTATAATAAAAATACCAAAAATGGATGGGTATAATAAACAGAAATGTATTCTGTCACAGGCTAGAAGGTTGAATTCAGGTTCCTCGCTACAGGTGAATACTTTCTCTCTGTGTAATTTCTGGGGGGAAGTTTTTTTCTCATTTCAATAACTGTGAGCTCCATATTCTTTGGAGATCTGCATGTATCTTGGAGTCAATCTTCCACTGTGTCTGGAAGAGTCTTAGCTCTGGGATTCTCGGCCTCCTAGCTTTCTGGTCTTTGTAATAGTGAAGTCTTTTACTCTCTGTTTGTTTCGTTCCTTTTATATGTTAAAAGAAATAGACTTAATAAACAACTTTAATCCTGTAGATGCTGTCCTGCCTCTCAGATATAACTTCCATAGACAGTCTTTGAGCCGGAGACACGCTGTCATCCACAGATCTGTAAAAAAGTGCTTTTATAGATGATGCAATCTGTTTGTCTTATTGGAATTTGACTACTGAAAGAATCCCTTAAGTAACATTTTGGTGACCCATGAAGGGACCCTTGGACTCACTTGACCCTGAGCCTGTTCCAGAGATGAGACTGCAGGCTAAAGAAGCAAGGGTGGATAGATCCATAAATTCCAGCCAGCCATTTCTACTGAATTCAGCCTTGCAAGTTGATAAATACTCTGTCCTCCTTAATTTGTTGTTTGTTTTACGTTTACAAACAGTTGTTAAACAATGTTTCTTGTAACTTAAAATTAGAGAAACTGAAATTGAGCCTTTAACCATAATAGAAAGTTCAACAGCAAATAATGTAGTAAATTTAAAACAGTGCATCAGCATAGTTACTTGTATAGTAACTTTTTAATGCTGTTCCTGCATATTAGAATGTCACTAGAGTATTACTAATTTGTTAAATCATGTGAGGAAGGTGAAGGAAACAGCAGTCTGTAGCACTCCTTCTTTGCTTCCTGATGTTTGTCTTCTAATTTATGTCTACATCTCCTGGTAACTAGAAATCTTGCAGTCCAGAGGTCAGAGAACACCTTGAGAATGTTTTCTAACTTAAGAAGGCATGCAGCTTGAACTCAAGGACCACCAATAGAGAGTTAAAGTGAGCTCCCCTTCCCCTCCATCTCAATGCCACTGTTGAGCATGAAGCAGAGAGTCTGTGCCCCTTTTCCCAAATGGGGAGCCCATAAATAACTCCCGCCAAGAATCAACCCAGATGTTTGGCTTATAGATATAAGACTGATCTAAAAAGAGGGGGGATGTTGGAGTGGTATTGATAAGTTTAGAATTCTCTATGTATGTATCAGATATAAAACTGTAATTATATAGCTATAAAACTGGCATCAGTTTTCTTCAGCCTGCAAAACTAGTTACTTGGCCTGAAAACTCTTCCTTTCTTTAGTTAGTTATGTAAAGTAGTTTAATCTGTTTACCGGAAGAGGAAATGCATCTCTCCTAGATCTCTTGAGGTTGTTTCCCCAGTCATATGTACATTTTCTTAATAGGCCTGTTTACCAGGAAGGGGACTGTGCCTTTCCTGAATTACAGGTCCTTGAATATGAACTGTTCTTTTCAGATGTACAAATTATTTTTTTACTAACAAAAGTACATTGTTAAGTAAGTTGGTGTCTCACCCGGGTATAAAAGCCCAATGACCAATCCCGGACAGGGAGGCAGTTTTTGAGGCCAAGACCTGCTGTAATAAAATGCTTTTATGGATATTGCAATCGCTTTATCTTATTGACAATTGACTATGGAAAGGAAAGAACCTCTTGCTTTCAATAACAGAAAGACAGTTAAATGCTCATCTATAAAAGGGCTTTTACTTTATATTAAATGTACATTTGTTTTGCTTGGAAAAAAAAAAGGATGTAACTTCCTCAACTACTGCTTCTTTAACATCAGAGAGTTTAGGATTTACAACACTTATGATCATGATATCAGGTCATAAATTGGAGGATAAATATCTAATATTGAGAATTATAGCCTAATGGAGTAGATATACAATTGGGAGAACACAATTACATACACAATTTGATACATACATACCAAGTGGAAATCAGAGTGGGATGAGTTATTTAATTTTGAAAAAATACTTTAAGAATTTTTAACACAGAATGAAGATACTGTAAAGATAGATGCAAAGTATCTTTAGTTCTGAAAAACTAAATAACCAAGATGAAAATGTGAAAAGAATATTAAATAACATAAGTTTTAATTTTGCATATGCCTAAATGGCATTCTCTGATTCATTTCTTCATAATCTAGGCCTTATTTTCCAGACTTTTGAGAAATTTTCTCAAACGGTTTTAGTGTCTTTCTGAAACCTAACCAAACCCTTCCTACAAATTCATTATGTTTTTTTTAAAATAAATCCCTGATTTTTCAATCCATGAGTGTTTTCCTCTGTAACAGATTTTTTAATGTCAATATCCTGTTATATTTGAGTTCACACACTAATCTATACTGTATGCTTTTCTTTTTCATTCACAAATAGTCATTACTACCTCTCTAATCCTAAATAATTCGTTCTTCTGAGTAATTTGAAACAACAGAAGATTTTCTCTTATGTTGTATGTATTTAACCTGTTATCCAATCTAAGTTGTATCTTTTGTAAACATTATATCTCATAACCTTCAGAGGTTTCTACATTACAGGGAACACTATTGTTTGCACAATCCCCTAATTACCAAGTGAAGTATTTCACTGATGTCTAAATTTTCACTATTGAAATACTTCACTGATGTTTAAATTTTCACGATCATATTGCAAATTATAGAGGATTTTCTTATTTTCTGTTATATTGTAACTTGTAATTTCTGTTGCCTCGAAAAGGACTCCATGCCATAATTTATAAAATATTCAATTATTCACAAACTGCAAATAATTTTCTTTTGAAATTGGAAAGCTTATCTTCTGCATGAACAAGACATTGAGGACATTTTTAATTAGGAGTATTGGAAAAATTACCACAAGTATAATTTCCCATTTTTCCAGTATTTTTTGTTATTCTTGTTTTGCTAATGTTTCCCCCCCGAGAAACAGTACGCAACACATGTGAAGAGAGCTACAAACAACTCTGCTCAAGTCTATTGAATAAGAACCTATGTTTCCTTCTCTTCTGATGTAACTCTAAGCAAGGCTTTTCTCTCTGACACTTATTGCTCTAGAACTCTTCATTTTAGGGAACCTCTACTGTGTTAAACTGGATATTCCTCTCATCAGAAGGTAACAGCACCCCAACAAATTAGGAATGTATTTTCTAGTTATTGCATTGAACAAAACCTTATTAAGAATATATGCTATGTTTTATGTACTCTTGAAAACACTCCAGGGATAAAGAGAAATGTATTTATCCTGCATTCTCAAGTAGCTACATTGCACTGGACTCTTGGAATTCAGCAAACACTATGTTCCCTTTATTACACAGATTAGTTACACTAGATCTGAATCATATAAAGAAAGTGAAGGAGGCCTTTCCAATAAGGTGAAACAGACTTTATAAAAATCACAAAAAACTTTAAATATACAGTAAGGTTTAGAATCAATAAACAATTTTAGCTTACAAATTTGCTCATAAGTAAAAAATAATCTACATGAAAACTAATAAAAAAGTAGCAGGCCTGATTACAAAGTTCTCCCTGTAAGCCAAATAATTTTTAATTTGTAAGCCTTCTAGTCAAATGTGATTCTATTCTTTTAATAATTACAATATTTTACTAAATAGTTGTCTAAAGTAATTAAACTAACAGCTAATATATTTTAATATTTTGACCAGTGAGTGAATGACTGTTAGGACTAAGTTAAACAATCCATTCAAAATATTTAGAAAGAAGCATAAAATGCATTGGTCAAAATATTAAAATATATTAGCTATTAATGAATATGTTTCCCCCTCTTCTTTCCAAGACATAATTTTAAATATTTTATGACACAATGAGAATAACTCAAGAATATTTCTCTAGGGTAATATGTACATTTTCTTAATCTTTAAACAAATGAACTTTTCTTAACTACATTGAACAAAATAGATGGTTTTCTAGTTGCCCAATTTTGCTTAAAATTTGTTGGCTTCTATTTTATTTTCTGAAAACACAGAAAAGCACAAAATAGTACGGGAGATAATCTGTATCTTAGCTCACCTATCATCCTGCCTTCACATCGGTTACATGAGGTGTAAGTTCTTTATGCAGCCCTGGAGAATGAAAACAGTTTCGTGCTCAACTACTGGATGAGATGCTTGAGATTTGAAAACACCCACGAACTCCTAGGGAGACAGGTCTGGTGAAATGAATCCAAAAAGTCACTTTCTGGAAAAGCGTATGAACCATTTGACTCTCTATTAGTGGAGTTGTCATGAGTTAGAATTGACTAGAAGGCATTTAATAACATCAGCAACATGAAACTCATTTTCTGTTTTCTAACATTCAGTGCAAAATCCTAAATCTAAAGACTTACCTGTAATAAACAGTGGAAATGTAAGAAGTAGCCATAGTGTGAGATATATTTTTTTGTATTTCAGGAAACGAACAATGCATGTTTTATACTCTGAGATAGTCCTGTGGGACTGCTGTTCAGTAATACCCAATGACCTTTTAGGTCCATCTGGAGCAAAGGAAAATGAGAACTAAGATGAGCTTTCTTTCAAAAATATTTCAGAGACATCTGTTCCCAAACAACACAGAAC